CTTTTTAGGGGTTAGGTGTCAATTGGGACGAGAGTCCTGTTCCTTTCCCCTGTCACGATTTGTATCTGTCTTTATTTGTCTTTAATTAATTAGTTTGTATCGTGTATAAAGTGACAAATTCATTATATTATATTATTATTATTATATTATATTATCTGACTGTCTGGCAGCAGACAAAGCAACGTATGACTATATATGGCTTAATAAATCAGTTCTGGTTCCAGCCAGAACTTTTTTCCAGTTCCGGCAGGAATTTAAGAAATTGGTTCTGGTGCACCCCTAATGTCAGGACTTAAATCCTATTGAGAATTTATGGGATCATTTGCAATGAGAGAAACTGAAACATGATCTCCACAGTGAAGACAACCTGTGGGATGTCTTTATTAATCAATGCTGGAATAAGATTAAGCCAACAGTACTAGAACACTTGTTGAATCTAAGCCAGGGAGAGTTAAACCTATTTTAAAATCAAACGGGGGTCACACAAAATAATGTTCACTTGGCTAATATAATATAATATAATCAATTCCAACATTAATGTAAAATTGTAAATCCTACATTTATGCATATATAGTGCTGTGTTGTGGGAAAATATATTGTATATCAATAAAAGGTAAGAGAATATTGACTTGACTTTTATAACCCTTATGGATATAACTATCCAGTTTGACATATGGCAGTCCACAGTCGATCAGTAAAATTGTCTTGTGCGAGACATACATCAAAGTTAAATATCAAAATAGTTAAGTAGGTAGTGTTAGGGAAAATTGCATCTAAATATGTCAACATGAAACATGGACAGTCTAACTAGACACTTCCCTTGACAAGTAAAATTGTCCGGCATTAGAGAAGATAACATTTAGCAAACTGCTGAAAATTGGCTCATGGGAATAATTAAAAAAAACATGCTCAACACCCTTGCCGAGATGTCTGTAAAATATATAAAATGTAGCCCAAAGTTATTACATATATTATTAAGCAGATCATGCAGGTGGTGTAACTAAATATACTTATAAGGTTGAACAATTGTTGTGAGGTGTTGCTTTTAATATTTTAATAAAGATTTATACAAAACGAAGTATTATTCAACGCTTTTTTTCCATTAGAATCCTTTCAGAAATATATTTTTTTTTTAAAAAATCGTGGTCAGTTTTTGTTTTGTTTTGATCACGTACTGGTCCCGCATAGTTCACGTACTGGTCCCGCATGCAACCGTACGCAACCGTAGGGAGCCTCCTTGAGGGACAATTTGTAGCCCTCTTTCAAATTGTCAAAATTACTCATTGAATTGCAAAGTTTTTAGCAAGCTGAGCAGGGTTCAAACCAGTAGTTTGCGTGTCGGGACTTTGCCAAACAAGGTCCCAAACAAGCGCTGGCTGTAAGGGCGCCAATCCCACTGGGTTGGTGGGATGAGGGATGCATCTCCCCATTATTTGGGACGAGGGATAATTTTTTTTTCTTCAATGCCGATCATGCGTGATGATACATGATTAATAGTTATTCAGCGTCAAATGTGCTGCGACTGATATCTTATTTCGGTTGAAGTTTCTTCAGTAATATTGTGTAAAAAATCGATCAACTCAATTAGTATGGCATGCCCTGAAAATGCTAATTCCCGCACTAGTTCTATAAATTTTGTTTTAATACTTGTGAAAATACTACAAAATTTAAAGGGGCCTGCCTCCAGGTCTACCCGCCGATGCAGAACCTCGTCATAATGAGCATTGTAATCTCCAAGGAGTACAACAAAGGTATTAGGCTGGATGTAAACAAATTTTGTGCAAACAATTTTCTAGGTGATTTATAAACTCATAATTTAATTCAAATGACAGCTATAGGCGGCTGATAACAGACTCAATAAAATTAAATTTTGAAATAAAATTAATATTCCTAATTTTAAATTCAACAAACTGGAATTAAGGATTTTCAAGATCAAAGCGACGTTTATACGCAATATCTATCTACTCGATTATGGATGCGAACCTTGAATATTCAAATCCTTCTTTTGGAATGGACCTCGGAATGAACCTTGAATATTCAAAAGCCTCGTTTTGCCAGAACGAATGTTCTAAAGTTTTCTTATTTCCATCGAACCGCCGTAGCATGGAATGCCTTACTTTTACGTACTCGGTCGAACTGTTTAAGAGTAGTGTGTTTTGTCATCTATTTGAGATGGAACAATCATAACAATATATACCCCTTCTTAACTTATAGCTTTTATATATTTTAACTATATTATAATGATTTAGGTAGCTATTTTATTAGGGGAGTACTCCCTGTTCTAGCTTTCCTGCATGTAAACAATTTGTTGTTGTTGTTGCTAAACCTTAATAATAATAATAATAATAATAGTAATAATAATAATAATAATAATAATAATAATAATAGTAATAATAATAATAATAATAATAATAATAATAATAATAATAATAATAATAATAATAATAATAATAATAATAATAATAATAATAATAATAATAATAATAATAAAAACTGAACGCGCAACTACAATGATGCGTATTAAACAGTGAAAGGTTCATGAAACGGTCGTTCCTTGATCGTTTACAGTTTTATACTGTTTTCCCGCTCTGACAAGAAGTCAAAATTAATTCTGCATAGTACAAGTAAGCTAGTATAAACATTTTTTTCAATCAGCCACACCTAATTAGAACCAACGTCTCTGGTTAACATACCAGATATTAACGAGTGGACTGTATAATACATTGATTAGTAAATTAAATTATAGCCATGCATGGTTACTTGGTTTTGATCTACCGATTTTTATAATCATTAAGTTTCTTTAATTTCTAGCCATCCTAAATTTTTCATTCTCCAATTTAATTGAATTAATTAAAATAATTTTTTTCGCCATGCAAAAAATCGTTCCAATGATACTTTTTGGACCTAATTAGTAATTGCTATGCGAATAAAAGCCGCGGGCCTATGACTATGTAGAAGTAAAAAATAGGTAATATATACTATCGTAAATTTGTTAATAAAATAAAGTTTTTCAATCAAATTGCTGTTAATGATCACATCGGACAAGTCCGAGAGCTAGAGCTCAGTTAGTCTTTAAAACTCATTGGAAACTGGTAAATAATCTGTTGTTCGTTGCTGTTGAGCTGCAGCGCAAATTTCTTTTCAATTAATAGCAATAATCATCATAAAAAATCCTTGAACATTCAACGATGACAAATGATTTCAGCGTGCTGAATATGGCGTCTCAACCATCACTAAATCCAAAATATTTCACATTTAGCAATAACACGTGCAGCGGAGCATTTTAGTGTACAAAAAGTAAGAATACAACTATGCCACTCTTTCCTTCGCACAGGCTTACATGTAATTTCTAATTGAAGGGAAAAATGAGTGCACAGGGAGAATTGGGAAGAGCGAAATAGATGAAGCCTCTGCTATAGTTAATGTAATTAATATGACGGCCAATTTCCGTGAGATTGCATGGTCACATTGTTAAAATCTTGAATGGATTTGTGTTCAAATTGAGTTCTTACCAACAGCTTTTTCTTAATATTGTTCCAGTTTGTTAGAATAATGTCACTTGAATTTGTTATTTGAACGAGAGAAACAACTTCACACTTTACTTTTGGTCAATTTATTATGTTCTCATTGGAAATTATTGTTATGAAAAACGCAAATCCCGAATTATTCAAATGGAAATAACCGTATAGGAATTATAAATACAATCGTGAAAAACACGAAATTTTGAATGTGTGATTATACTATTGCTTACGCAGTGGCTTTGAAATGCAATCACGCAAGTAGTACTGTAAATATTAAGCAGTCCTTTCTAAAGGGTTTTTAGTTATTGCATATTTAATTTTCACTATGACAGCTGAGTCAAAGCCCATTGCGCAAAGTATTAAATATTAAGAAATATTCTGAAAAATTGAGATCGAAAAACGTCTGAACAAAAAGTCTTTTTAACCCCCAAAAATAATGTTTGGAAAAATGTTTTGGGACGTTTTATTTTCGAAAAAAAGTCAACCCCCTTGCCCAACATTTTCCCGAAAATTTTGCTTTTCGGAAAATTGTTTTGGGGGGGGGGGGCGAAAGGAAGAGGGGCCAAATTTTTGAGTTCACCCCCCGCCCCCCCCCCCCAACCAGATATCACTCGGCATGTCCCTATTAACAACAAGTAAGCTTACACTAAACCAGAACGCTTGTTTTAATGGATCAAAGATCATGCAGAATTTCATATGCTGTCAAAACCATGTGCTATAATGTATCACACACAAGAAATCTCTTTTAAATAAAGTATTTATTTTAGACAACTGAAAAGGCGATAAAGCGTGAAAGTGGACGCGCATGACAATGGCGAATTTTGGTCAAATTCTCTCTATTTATCTGTTACTGCGGTACGCACGTACATGTAGTTCTCAGCAATCAAGTGCTTGGTTCAAATTGACGGTGTCAGGTATGTATAGCGTGTATCAAAAACAAGTGATTCGAGTGTCGAGTTTGTAAATTTTTTTTATCAAAGATAGCCAATAAGATAAAGTATTTAGCTGTACATGTCAAATGATAACAAAGTGACACTCAAAATATCAACGAAAATTGCATATGATTCATTTTGGCTGTTGTTGGCGCTCGGTTTCCAATGGTCTTGGTCAATCAACAAGTTACGAAATACAGAAATTTTAGAACCGACAGGCGTTCCTTTGGAAGTCTGGGACTGCACGCAGGCTAAGAACCGACCGGTATGGGTCATTATGAGGGGTATACTATAGTTAGATACCAGTGCGGATATACTTCTTGATATGAATGCGCTGGCATAATGCCTACTTGGTCGTAAAAAGTTCAATGATGCCTTTAAGACACTGAATTCAGGCAAATATACCTTCATGTCTGCAAGAGTTCTTTTCTTTTCGTACAATATAAGGAACTGTGAATTGAAAAAAAAAATTACCTAAGCCAAGCTATTGCAGAACAGTGCTCTTCAAGATATATAGGAAAGCGCTTACAGTTTTCATTATCACATTTTAGTAAAGTTATTGATGAGCATTATAAGACTGAATTTGATCTGACGCCAGTCGTCTTGTAAACCAGTTGTATAGATCTTTTCATGAACTTCTATTTAATTATTTTTTATTCCTAGATTATTGATATCATATATGCACGTATACTGAAGATTTTACCATGCATGTTTAAATAAAATTGGACTGTATATACTGTGTTGAACAAAAGCAGAAATTTCCAGGTGTTTCCCCTTCCCTGGCAGGGTTTATGTGTCCTTTCTGCTAATTTTTAAGTGAAATGAGAACTTATTAAATTGACTATTGGCCACATGCATATGTTCTGGAGAAGATAACCATGCGTGCCTATATATACTAGGAATTCTCATTAAAAAATCCCTTTTTTAGTACATCAGTCGATCTAATATTAATTATAATAATTGATTATATTATTATAATTAATATTATTAATTATAATAATTGAAACTTCTGTTAATTAAAGCTAGCATGAACATAAATACAAAATATAAGGCAGGTTTTTTTAACACTCTGTATATATAATATAGATTCTTTCTCCTCAAGAAATTCAATACAAAGAGCGCGTATAGTATATACAGGGTGTATCAAAAAAAACTGAACAGATTTGAAATTGCTGTCAATTTCGCAAAACACCTATTTGTATCCGGTTTTTTATATATATAGCTTCTTTGGGTACTTATAATGTAGAATAATGAAAAAAAATTCTCAAATTCAAATTTTGTGAACCAGGGGGGGGATGTCTTTTCCAACAAACTAAAACTGGCTCGCGCACAAAATTTAAAAGTTTTAGTCATAGTTTGAGTTAATAGATGGAAACTTTGTTGGGTTTTTAATTACTGTACAAAATTTCAGACGATTTGGGTTAGTTTAAGCCCTTTAACTATTCATTTTATTCTAAAAAATCAGCCTTTCCCATGCTTAATTAATGCATTTACCTAATTTGCATATTGCTAACATATGCAAATTAGGCAAACGCATAATTAAGCATGCAAATAACTGATTTTTAGGAAAAATGTAACTTTGCGTGAATAGTTAAAGGGCTTAAACTAAACCAAATTGTCTGAAATTTTGCACAGTAATTACAAATCCGACAAATTTTCCATCTATTAACTCAAAATATGATTACAACTTTTAAATTTTGTGCGCGAGCCATTTTTAGTTTGTTGGAAAAGACACACCCCCCTGGTTCGCAAAATTTGAGTTCAAGAAATTTTTTTCATTATTCTACATTATAAGTACCCAAAGAAGCTATATATATAAAAAACTGATACAAATAGGTGTTTTGCGAAATTGAGAGCAATTTCAAATCTGTTCAGTTTTTTTTGATACACCCTGTATATATACAGTATTTGATATTTTCATTGAATTCTGGCAGGTCATCGCTTAACTGGTCATGTAATCAATGAACTTAATACTTATCTCGTGGAATGCTGTCTATACTGTCTCAGAAAGTCTTCTGACTGTAAATCAAGCAACTTCAAAACAACAAAACATCAACCTCATTCAAAAAGCTGTCAACCCATCAACGCTATGAAAACAACTCATCCTCAGAATTTACTGGCTGATAAAAACTACGATAATTATGAACTTCTTGCTCTGAAAAAGGTATTCTGTATAGATTTCCCGTGAACATTGAGAAATACTGTATTACCATTAGACTATAAAAATTAAACCAGAATTTGTAACTATAAGATCGTTATTCTAATCTGATATAATATAAAATATCTCAAAAACTAATTAAATTCGTTTTTTATTTGCAGAAAATAGAAAAACAAACACCGGTAAAATATGGTAAGATGACTTGAACCAAATTTTTGTTAACAAACATGTGCAGCTCGAGTAGTCGTGTGAGGCCAGGTTAAGGTTTGGTTGACGTTAGACTGAGGATATGTTGGAGTTAAACGGAGGTTAGGTGGAGGTTAGGTTGAGTTCAGTAAAGATTTGTTAATTTACTTTTTCTTTCAGCGAAAAGTTGTGATGACCTGTACAAATCAGGCAAGACAACCATCGGGGTGTATACAATCGACCCGGATGGCTTGGGAGCTTTTTCTGTTCGTTGTGATATGGAAAGCACTCCAGGGAGGGGCTGGACTATATTCCAAAGATGTGTAGATGGCTCTGAGGACTTTTACAGAAACTGGACTGACTGCAAAACTGGATTTGGCAATTTGTCTGGTGAATTTTGGCTCGGTTTGGACAAGATTCATCGTCTCTCAGTCGCTGTCCAGAATGTACTGAGAGTTGATCTCGAACGTTTTGAGAACGAGACAGCTTATGCAGTCTATGAATCATTTTCTGTTGGAAACGAAAGCGAAGCTTACATTTTGAATGTTGCTAACTACTCAGGTAATGATAAATATTAAATTATAAATTCTTTCGATGCTTATAATGTGAAATATATGTAAATCTCAAACTTGTTCATCATTCATGAGCAAAATACAAAGGAAGCTAATACCATATCGTTGAATTTATCTTTTAATACAATTCCGTTAATATAAGGAATAACGTAACAAAGTCAAGGTTAAAATGCTGAACACATTTTACTTCATTTTACTACTTCATTTTGATCTGATGCCGATTGGGGCTTTGGGATTCTTGGTTTGTATATTTTACGTCTTTATTGACGTAAAATATATATCTATATATTTGTTTTATAAATCTCAACGAATTAATTGCAAACCACAGAATCGTATGTTTTATGTGATATTAAATAGCAAAATTTTAGTTTTAAAGGTAAGAGCAGGAAATATTAAAACGCACCTGCATGGGCTCTGTGAGGTATATTTGATGACTTGATTGCCTGAAATATTCATGAATTATTAATAATTTGTGAATTTTTGTCAAATGTTCACTTCACAGGTACGGCAGGAGATTCTTAAACAGGCGATCACAATGGAATGAAATTCACCACTCGAGACGTAGACAATGATCTGTCGTCGTCTGCAAACTGTGCTCAGTACCGGAATGGTGCCTGGTGGTTTAGAATATGTATTGATTCACACTTGAATGGCGAATATCTGGGAGAATCTCACGGCAAGTATGGTGAAGGTTGTAACTGGTATTCGTTTAAAGGAACTTATTATTCTTTAAAGGCCAATGAATTGAAAGTAGGACGTGATAATGTTTGAAACGTTCGTTTTATTATAGAACGTTTTGAAGACTTCGCAAAATTGTAGTTTATAAACTGATAATGTAACAATAGATATAGATCTTTTTATTGAGAGGCAATGCTGTAAGTAATTACGTTACAAATAACGAAAGTAAAGTTACAGGTAACTGTAACTGTAACTGTAGAGGTAACTAGTTACGTTTTGAATATCATATTTGCTTAAAGTGCCTATATCATGGTTTTGGAGTTTGCATATCTCGAAAGTTTAGGGTATTTTAAGACACTTTGCAATATATTTTGTTATTGAAAAATTTATCTTGATGGATTTATTAGGTCTTAAAATTACGGGACATGACGTCAAAAGGAGAATTGCAAATCAGTTTTCCTTTGTATCATTGCAACAAAATTCTCCTTTTGACGTCATGTCCGGTAACTTTAAGAGCTAATAAATCCATCAAGATGAAATTTTTCAATAACAAAATATATTGCAAAGTGTCTTAAAATACCCTAAACTTTCGAGATATGCAAACTCGAGCTCCAAAACCATGGTATAGGCACTTTAAAATGGAACGATAACGCGTTAATGTTTCCGACCAACACTTACGTTACATTTTTCGTTACATTTTCACGTTAAAATATAGTACTTGATTTTTTCTTTATACTATCAACTTTTATTAATGTGGTCGATAAACCGATTGACTGTACAATATAACAAATAAATATGTACGCTCACCAACAATTTTGTTTTTTAAACTTGCTTTCAATGTTAAACTCATTTACTCAATACATGCAGGTCATAGGTGTGTGGTGTGGCAGACTGGGAGAGGCAAATGCCCCACCAATCCATGGTATTAAAAAATGCCTCGATTTTTCGTCTCTTTTACATTCTCTATTTGAACACAAACTTGGAAAATTGTAGTTTCTAATTATGCTATAGTTGTACTGCCATTTTGTTTATTTATGTATAGTACGTAGCCGGTCGGGGCGGGGATACATTGCATTTATCTCAAGTCACGTGACCCCAAAACAGCCAATCACATTTGGTGTTCACCCTGTATATAGCTATATAACAAATTCCCATAAATGCCATGTAATACATTTTTTATTAAGTATTAACCTCGCTTGCTCGGTGTGCACGGAGAAATGTCGGATCTCATGCAGTTTCTTTGTACAAACCTCGCCCTACGGGCTCGGTCTGTACAAAAAAGATCTCGCTCCGATATTTCATTGTGCACACCTCGCATTCGGTTAATATTAAGAAGTCAGTATAGTCTGAGCCCAAAACAACTCTAATCTCAAACAGTTATGATGCACTGAAGTGTTTAAACAAAGGTAGGTTGAGTAATTATTAGAGTTCAGGGTTGGTTAATTAGCCTACCATGAAATTAAATTATTCAAGTGTGCGGCCGCATCAATCGAAAAATTGAAACTTTCACAGTTGCCTATGGGCACAATTGAATTTGGTTATTGTGTACATATTGTTCCCGAATAATGCTCAAAATTTTTATTAAAGTTCATGATCATCTGCCACTTTCCCCTCCTCTATGCAAGTGTATGTCAACACTAAACAGTTTTAAACATCAGCATAATGTCAACTCAGACACGTGTATAGTTCAACGCATGCAGCTGGCCTTTGAGTGTGGAAGAAATTTCCATTTATTAATGAAAATCTTCAGATTAAGGTAGGATAAAATTTCAGACTATTTTGAATTGCCGACATCATTCACTGCATGAAAAGCGACGTATTCCGAGGTATTCACATGTCTATACGGGTTAGAAGAAAACGCATATTGCAACAGTATTCTGACGTGGAATATTAGTGTGAATACGGCATAGTATTGCAGAGTATTCCAAGCGTGAATATGCCGTGAATATGACACATATTCACCTAATATTCACACTTGGAATATTATAATCTCATCTCATACGTGTTTCCACAACATAGTTTGTAAAGTTAAACATTCCTTTGAATGCTTCAGATTGGAAGTGGTGGAATAGATAACAACATAATAAGAAGTGAATCCCTACTGCAATTTATGATGGAATTTGATGATTCATGATGTCTGTAAACAAATTTCAGGTGTTAGCATATTATGTTTAGCTAATAGCTAGATAAAATACTTGAAAATTCCTTCTCTATTTGGATATCTCCATATCAAAAACCAAACAGATTAATACCGCAAGGCGCACACAAGAAGTCGTGGATAAAATTGTATTATAGTACTATTTATTCATTTTGTTATCTCGTGCATGTATTGAATGGACACCGTAATTTACTAATTTCGTACTTATTTGAGCGCCATGGCGCTCTTTAAATATGATTTTCAATGTTGCAGATGAAATGCAGCGGTTATTTTGCTCGCTCAAATGAGTAAATTATGTCCTTGTAATGATGTAAACATTTTAGTCATTATGCATTCCCTATAATAATTAAAACTTTATGGAAGCATACGATTGAAAAGAAATATTATTTTGGGCCATTTGCATGGTTCAAACCATTCCACTCTATTTTCATGGCACCAGACCAATTTCTATTTCGATGGAAACCTGTATACTGATTGCAATGTCGGACGAATATTTGTCTGCATATTCCTGTGGTATGCCTGTGCGCTATCATTGTTCACAGCTGTCGAAGCATACATTCTTTTTGCGAAAAATTTGAACTGCTAACGACAATAGACCTCCGACATACTTCGTACTGGATAGATTCGCTCTTTGCTTGGCGGAATTCGGATGTGATCAGACTTTGCTCGGAGCATTGTTACGTTCCAGGTTTCCCGAGATGTAGTCGCACAAATATTTGTTCCGATTTTGCGCTTACATAGTACCGAACAAACATTTGTCTGGTCGATACATTTTGAAAATGGTACGCTTTCGTGACGGACAAAAACTTGTACGGATAAGTGGTCAAATACTTAAACTTTTGTCTGGTAAATGAAAATCTGTCTGGTATCGTGTACACGCGGCCTAAGAAATATAAATCTTTGCATGCATGAATACGACAGACAAGGTGAATGCAATTAACTTTGCGCACTCACCAAATATGGGCATGATGACGTCAAACCAGACCTATGCATTAGTAAACTTATTTGGCGCAAAATCGCGCGCAGTTTATACCGACATCTATGCCTAATAACAACCGTTGTGTGAGAAAAGCCTACTTTAGTTAAACGGCATATTCACAGCCCTAACCAACAGAAAAAAAGAACGAGGACAGCCCGTAAGAAGCGCAAAAGGTTCGAGAGAAGAGAAAGACAAACCAAGGCGATATCCTTACTAAAAATTCAGGAAGCTCTGGTCAGGGTCAAGGAAGAAGCAAGCCGCCATATAATGAACTTGCCAGCAAATATTATTCGCTGTCGAGAAAGTGCGCAAAGTGATAAAATAACGCATATCAGTTGTGGGATAAAACGTGTAATGCGGTATGTTCATACTGTATAATATATTCTGTATAAATGCCGTATTAACAAAAAGCAAACGATGAAACGATTATATATTTTGTTTTGCTTTGTTGAACTTTGGGCTATATAGACGCGCGAGTACACTAGTTGACGATATTAACTTAATTAATAACAGATACAGTATTCGCTCAAATTGAATCATGTACTTAAAGCACAAACTTTCATGCTTTGTTGATTTGCTATAAACCAGTCATGCATTCTATTATTTACCACTGAAAGATTTAATTGTATTTAAGGTTTTCCATCTGCCAAACGGGATGTGTGTTGTCTAATAAAGTATTCCACTCATACAGCTAGCGCTCATTAAATATTAATCCAGAGGCGTACATTATGAGTAGACAAAAGCATTGGCAGCCGGAAAGTATAGTTGTTTCAATAACCCTAATGAGTATTGAGTAACACAAAATGTTTTGGAGTTGAGTT